AATTGAAGCAAGAACAAACATCAAATTGATGATGAAGCTTGGGTGGAAGAATGGTGAAATATTGATGCTTTACAAAAGTTTATGGGGACAATGCCCCAAGGAAATCAGCAGTTTACAAATGGATAACTTCTTTTAAGAAGGGACAAGACTATGTTGAAGATGTAACCCCAAGCCCACAGCAGCAGACCATCCACATCAACTTGCAAGGAAAAAATTAATCTTGTTCCTGCCTAATTGAAAAGGACCGACGACTAACAGCAGAGACAATAGTTAACACCATAGACATCTCAGTTAGTTGAGCTTACACAATTCTGACTGAAAAATTACAGTTGAGCAAACTTCTGCTGGATGGGTGCAAAACTACTGCACCCAGATCAGCTGCAGACAAGAGGAGACCTTTCAATAGAAGTTTAAAACAAGTGAGATCGAGATCCTGAAGCATTTCTTCAAAGAATTGTAACAGGAGATGAAACATGGCTTTATCAGTGTGATCCTGAAGACAAAACACAAAGCCATGGCTACCAAGAGGTGGAAGTGGTCCAGTCGTAGCAAAAGTGGACCAGTCAAGAGCAAAGGTCATGGCAACAGTTTGTGGGATGCTCAAGGCATTTTGCTTGTTCACTTTCTGGAGGGTCAAAGAATGTTAACATCTGCTTATTATAAAAGTGTTTTGAGAAAGTTAGCTAAAGCTTTAGCAGAAAAATGCCCAGGAAAGCATGACCAGAGAAGTCCTTCTCCACCACAGCAATACTCCTGCTCATTCCTCTCATCTAACAAGGGCAATTTTGTGAGAGTTTCAGTGGGAAATCATTGGGCATCCACCTTACAGTCCTGATTTAGCTTCTTCTGATGGCTTTTTGTTTCCTAATCTTAAAAAATCTTTAAAGGGCACCATTTTTCTTAGGTTAATAATGTAAATAAGACTGCATTGAAATGGTTACATTCCCAGGACCCTCAGCTCTTTGGGGATGGACTAAATGGCTAATATCATCACTTACAAAAGTATCTTGAACTCAGTGGAACTTATGTTGAGATATAACATTTATTTGTTTTATTTTTATCTTTTAATTCCATTTTTCCATGAACTTTTTGAAGCCCCCTTGTATAAGTCATTAAAGTAAAAATGAATTTAAAGATTTCATATAGCAGGTATATAAATCATTACCTAGAATTTTTCTGACAAGTTATATTTAAAAATTGGTACTTATTCCAAATATATTTTATTTCCCTTTCCTCACTCTCTCAAGCTGAAGTCTTAATATATGAGTATATCCCATAGTTGTACTGAATTCAGTCAAACTGGATTTTGTTTTAGAATGCTAGATTGTAATACAGTGAGCTTGACGAACATGTCCCTTTTTTTCTAAAAAACAAAACCTAGAAAGAAATTATTTATGTGACTAGAATGGATTCCACTAATTAGGTGCTTCTTAAAATATTTTAAGTGATTCAAGTCCTATTTTTAAATAGTAGTGTACCCTGCTTTTAGAAAATGAAATGTAAAAATCATAAATTAGATGATATATAT